ATGTTATGAAAAAAGAGATTTGAAATATCTGTTTAATGTTAAAAATTCTATCATAAGATTTTCAGTGTTGTTTCTATCAGCAAAGCCGTATTTTCAAACTACTGATCCTCCTTGTTTCCAATGTTCACATTCCAATTACCGTAATTATCAATGCATCTTGACTGCATTTTTGATAAATTTAAACATTGCAGAAGTTGGCAAAAATTTTCAATTTCTTCATCATTGATGCATAAATTTGAATAATGATAGCACCACTGCTCTTGCTTGTAGGAGTATGGATATCTTATCATAACAGTGCTGTGCTTCAGGATAAATCCTGAAATTTCTTTTTGACAAAGAATGTGACGTCATTCCTCTTCAGTCTTCATTCCTGGTATAGCAAACCATATGACCGATTCAAAATGGCCAACAGCAGTCAGTTCAGCTCCCTAATACCTAGGATACCCATCTTTAAGCAGTCTATTGCATTTTTTACAACTTCCAAGTTTTCTGGATTCATGATTTATATATTCCATGTTCCAATTAATGGATGGATGTTTAAAGATATTCTTTCTCACTTCGAATCTTGCTACATTAATAAATGAAGATTCGAAAAGCATAATTTTATCCATTGTCATTAAGACTGACTCTACTTTGAGGGAAGTAGCTCTTCCCCCCACATATTTTGGGTGCCTACCAACTTGAGATTTTCATCTTCCACCACCAAGCCAGGTAATGTTCCGTTTCTACTCACAATGGTCTTTTTAATTCTTTATACAAATAGATTACCTGTCAGGTCCTTCTAGATCTGCTTCTAGTCTGTCTAGTCTGGAAACTCCACTGAAAGCTCTCCACTAAGGGTGGCACTGCTGGTATTTGAAATACTAGTGGTATAGCTTACAGCATCACAGTAACATGGTACCCACCAGTGTGACAGATTTGCAGATTAGAGACACCAACACCAAAAAAACAATTCCACTGCCACTGAGTCGATTCTGACTCCTGGCACCACAATGTGCTCAGTGTACTCTGCAACACAGCTGCACAGCTTTGCTGACCATACTATTTATGGAAGCAGCTCACCAGGCCTGTCTTCTGTGGAGTCACTACATGTATTTGCACCTCCAACCTTTAAGGCAATTTGTTGTCTTGTTGTTCAGTGCCATGGAGTCACTGCAGACTCACAGCAACCTTGTACAGTGTTTCCAAGGAGTAGTTGGTAGGGGTAAACTGCCGACTTTGAGGTTAGCAGTCCAGTACTTATACTACAGTGCCACAACAGGACTCTTTGAGGGTACTCATCAAACACACATTTATAACACTACGCAGGGATTTTAAAAGACAATATGCATAATCAATGGTATAATGAAATATTCAATTCTTCTAATGTATATAGGTAGCAACTTGAATCACCAGGTTGAACAAGTAATTGTATGAGGTCAAAAGTTGAAACAAAGAACCATCTTCTGTGTATTATTCCTACCAAGGTTCTGTACGAGAAAAAAAGTAAGCCCAACAGAAAATGATATGGGTAATTCATTATTCTTATTCAACCAATGATAACCAATAGCTAATACTACTGTAGATACAAAGGAGAGAAGCTAACTCATTATATGTAATGGGTGTTGTTGCCTGGATCAGCAGCGGCAGCATCACCTGAAAACTTGGTAAAAAAATGCACATACTCAGGCCTCACTTTAGACCTTTTGAATCAGAAATTACAGAGATTTTTTCCAGTGGCCTCCTGGTGTCTCTGGTTCTAAAGTCTGCCTTAGGTTGTAAGGACTATCCCAGACAGAAGGAAATGAGAAGGGCTGGTTTACTATCTATGAATGCATAGGTAATACTTAGATAACAGGCACCATTAAACACTGTATTTAAAATCTCTATAATTAATTCTAGAAGGTCTGGTAGTGAACTGGGCTACTAACCACAAGTGACTCTAGCAATAGCTCCATGGGAGAAACTTCAGACATTTTGCTTCCGTAATGAATTATACAGGGTCGTTATGAGTTGGAACTAACTCGGTTGCACACAATCACCACCACCATAATTAATTCTATACATAAAGACTTTATGACTGAAACCACCTTTTTATTCCAAAATCAAAAGTTGATTAGTATTAAAATCAACTCTTAAGTGAAATAAAGCAAATTTACTAAAAACCTCAATTTGCATATATTTTTTTTCACATTTAGTTGGCATATAATCCTAAAAAAGGAAATTGACTTATGTGCACTGAAATGTTAAACATAATCCACTTGTGCAATATAAATATGAAGTTCAAAGGAAATACTGTTCTTCAGAAGGCCAAATAAAAAGATTTTTTAAATTAGAAAATATCTATTTGTATAAACAACAATCAAATAAAACCATAAGCAATATTAACTGGAAGAAAAAACTTTAGAAAATAAAATTTTCATTTTTGTGAAACACTTTAACAACATACACATTTTTCTAAGTTGATTTGACTGATCAGTGTTATTATGCAAAAATATAATCTAAATTTGACATACATCAAGTTAAGCTTTTCTTTAAATCATGTCCAAACAGTTCTAAAACTGCAAGGTGAACCACATAAAGAATCAATACTTTTAGAAATATTTCGTATTTCAGGTCACAGTGAACACAAGACAATGTTATCTTAGTCTTAATATGTGCATTCAAAATGAGGAAGAACTATTCATATAACAATCTATTTTAAGAAACACAGAAGAAATGTAGAAGTTCATCACCTTATATTATTATTTTTTTAAATACAAGGACATATGGGTAAGAATGGAAAAAATTCCATTGCAAAAGAATTGCCAACTCAGTGGCACTATAAGACAAAGCACTAGACAAGAAGGTCGGTTTGAACCACGAGGTCAGAGGTTCAAACTCACCAGCTGTTCCTTGGAAACCCTATACAGGGTCACTATGAGTAGGAATGGAATCAACAGCACTTAACTTACATACAAAATGGGAGTCCCAGTATGGCACTGTAGGATAAATAATGGACAGATAACAGCAATGTCAGGGGTTCAAACCTATCAGCCAATCCTTGGGAAACACTATAAAGGGTCACTATTGATTTAGAACTGACTCAAAGGCACCTAAGAATGACAACAACATACGAAATGGTACTTTTCTTCTAGAAAATTCAAGGCAGATTTTGATAAATATTTGCAATTAAAACACAAATTTTATAAACAGCACAAATTATTATCAGCCGAATTTTTCACTATGGCATAAAAAAATAAAAGAATCTTTCTGTGTTTTAATTTACCTGTATTTCACTGGTCCTGAAAACACTCAACTATCTACCAAAAGGAGACTGGAGCCAATGTTAAAACAGTAAAGAAAATAGGTAGGTAACAGACGTTAGTATTGTCACTAAGAGTAGAAAAAGACAGTTATAGTTAGGTACTGTCCAGCTAGTTCTAATACAATATACAGCTTGATTTCGTAACAGCTGCTTCTGTGAGTGTTGATTGTGGATCTAAGCAAAATGAAGTCAGTGACAAGTTCAATCTATTCTTTTGTCATGAAATAACTATTTCTTGGCCTAGTTATAAGGATTTTTGTTTTCTTTCCATTGAGGTACAATCCATACTGAAGGCTGTAGTCTTTGATCTCTATCAGTAAGTATCTTAAGTCCTCTTTGTTTTCAGCAAGAAAGGTTGTTATTATTTGCATATCACAGGTTGTTAATGAGTCTTCCTCCAATCCTGATGCCACAGTTTTCTTCATATAATCCAGTTTATAGAATTATTTGCTCAGCATATAGACTGAATAAACCTGGTGAAAGAATATACTCTGGCGAACAGCTTTCCCTATTAGAAAATACACTAAATGCCACAAAATATATTTATCTAGTCCTTTAGAATTTATTAAAATCCTTCATCACATATTATCTTAACAAATTTATGGGGTGACAAGGGCAAATATCACCTGCACTTTTATAAATCGTTCATAATCTCAGAGTATCTGAGTAATCTATGTCATAACTAGGAAAGTTTAGATCATAATTTAAGCACTCTACTGCCAACCTGGTGAAGTATTGCATTAGGCAAATCTGCTGCACAAGACCCGTTTAAAGTGTTGAAAAGCAGAGATGTCAGCTTGAAGACTAAGGTGTACCTGACCCAAGCCATAGTATTTTCAATAACCTCATATGCATGTGAAAGCTGGACAGTGGATAAGGAAGACCACAGAAGAATTGATGCTTTTGAGTTATGGTGTTGGAGGAAAATATTGAAAGTGCCATGGGCTGCCAAAAGAACCAAAAGATCTGTGTTGGAAGAAGTGCAGCCAGAATTGCTCCTTGGAGGCCAGGATGGTCAAACTTCATCTTTCATACTTCGGACATATTGTCAGGAGGGACCAGTCGCTGGAGAAGGATATCATGTTTGGTAGGATGGAGGGTCAGAGAAAAAGAGAAAGACCCCCGGCGAGATGGACTGGCAAAGTGGCAGCATCGATGGGCTCAAGTGTGGTTAACGATAGTGAGGTTGGCCCAGGATCTGGCTGTTTAGTTCTGCTGTGCATAAGGTTGCTATGAGTCAGTACCAACTTGATGGCACCTAACTACAACAACAACACTGCCAAACTGGAGTCCTGGTGTGGCGCACTGGGTTAATACACTGGACTGCAAAGTGAGTTTGAACCGCAAGGACGGCAGCTCAAGCTCACAAGATGCTCCTTGGAAACCCTATACAGGGTCGCTATAGGTCGACACCAACTTGACAGCACTTAACAACAACAATAATCACTGAGCTTCCTTAATTCTAAAATTTAAAGTCGTAGAAAAATAAACAGAGTAACTGACAAACCGCTAACCACCAGCTACTCCTTGGAACTCCTATACAAGGTCGCTGTGAACTGCAACTGGCTCAACAGAATTTTAACAACAAATGAAATGATTATTTAACAATATACTGGTATAAAATAATTTTACGATATAAAATAAAAATTCCCACCTATTTGAGAGCTATTTAAGCAGTAGGAAAAAATAATCAGTTATGTAAGAAATGATTTACCTGTTACAGAAGTAAGCCCCATGCAAGTGGCTGCAATGGTCACTCCCAAGACTGCAGCAGTATCCTCCAGCAATATAACATTTGTACTAGGATCCCGACTTTCCATGACTTAATTGTTGGGGGCAGGATGTGAGGGAGGAGGAAGAAAAGACATTTTCTAAAATCTTCACTTGATATTAGGTGACATTTTACTAAGTATGCATTTGAAATGTAAATAAACATAACACATAAAAGCATGATTTAAAGCTCTACCTTCAATAGAACCTTTAGTGTCAATAAGAACTGACACTTAAAATCATGTTATTTTCTCAGGTTATATTAGGATATACAGACACACTGTGGTACATTTAAGGAAAGTCTAAATATATTAATATTAATGTTCAAATTACACATTTCTCATTTAAAAAGCAGTGATGTATACATAAGACACTTAAGAAAACAGTTACATATTCAATATACATCCCTACAGAACAAAGCAATAGAGTTAGATAATTTTGAGCAAATAGAGGAGATGAGATAATATACCTGGTTTTGAAAATACATACCATACTTATAAAATGACATTCCCTTGGCCTGAGCACTCCGACGAAGTTCATTTACAGCAACAAGAAGTGTTGCTGAAATAAAAGCATTCCTATCAGTAATGTAGAAATTTCATGTTTCTATAAACATTTAAAGCTGGAATCTCAAAAGATAAATAATAAACACTTATTTATATGTTAGGATTGGCAATTAAGGAATTCTGTATTGACTAGACATTCTCAAGCCACCAATTAGTCATCATTAGATGAATCCTATATTTCTAAGCCAAAATGATTTAAATATAGTCACAACTATACTCATAATTTATTGAACAGCTACTGTATGATAGGCACAACACTAAGCACCATCTATCTGAAACTCCCAACCTTTTGCAGCAGATTGTGTTATCACAATAATATTGTTATTAGATGTCATCAAGTCGGTTCTGACTCATAGCGATCCTATACACAACAGAGCAATACACTGTCTGGTCTTGGATTATCCTCACAATTGTTGTAATGCCAGAGTTCATAACTGTTATCACTGGGTCAATCCATCTTGGTGGGAGAATTCCTTTTTCCCTGACCATCCATTTTACCAAGCACAAGGTCCTTCGATAGGAACTGGTCCCTCCTAATAACATGTCCGAATATGAGACATGCAGTCTGGCCATCCTGGCTTCTAAAGGTCATTCTGGCTATACTTCTTCCAACACAGATCTGTTTGTTCTTTTAGTAGTCCATGGTACTTTTAATACTCTCCTCCAACACAATAACTCAAATGTACCAATTCTTCTACATCTTGGCTCTTAAACACCTAAAAGAGGTCTTATGTAGCAGGTTTGCTACAAGTGTTGATGGTTGATGCAAGCAAAATGATGCTCTTAACAACTTCAACTTTTTCTCCATTTACATGTTGTTGTTGTCAGATGCCATCGAGTTGGAACTGACTCATAGCGACACCAAGCACAGCAGAACGAAACAATGTCCAATCCTGGGTATCGGATTCCTGGTCCGACCATGGGTTACTCAAGGGCGAGGTGGGGATAAGTGATCAGGTAAGGGACACATACTGATGGCAAGTGACAAAGTTTATTAAAAAGTTCCAAGCTTATATAGGGCAAATCTGCAAGTCATTGTGGTTTGGCTAACGCACAAGTTTCCTTTTCCCCGGAATGGCTCAGTTACAGTAACCTGTAAGTTTCTAGTGCTGACGTTATTGTTACTAGGCAAGTTTGGTTTCAAGGTATTCATGAGCCTTGGAAGGCTCTGGCTTCCTACACCTGGGCCAACCTCACTACCGCTGCCACACTTGATGCCATCAATGATGTCACCTGGCCAATCCATCTCGTTGGGGGTCTTCCTCTTTTTCTCTGATCATCCACCTTACCCAGCATGACATCCTTCTCCAGTGACTGTTCCCTCTGGACAATATGTCCAAAGTATGAGAGACGGAGCTTAGCCATCTTGGCCTCCAAGGAGCACTCTGGTTGCACTTCCTCCAAAACAGATCTATTGGTTCTTTTGGCAGTCCATGGCACTTTCAGTATTCTCCTCCAACACCACAATTCAAAGGCATTAATTCTTCT